AGTCCAACTCTGTCTGATGAGGCAGGACCAAGTACACCTCTACCCCGAGATAAAGCGACCTGATGTAACGCAAATTCGCATATAAAGGTAAAGGAAGAGCAGGAAAGGAGGAGGAAGAGAGAGAACAAAGGGAAGTCCTCCTACCCAATACAACGCGGTTTCACCTGCAACACGGTAAGATTTTTTTTTGGCTCCTGAGGACCGCGTTATATCAGGGTAGAGGTGTATATGTAGATTATCTCGGACAGGTTTGTTGTACCTGTTCTTAAAAACTTCCAGGGAAAGGGATTCCACAGCCACCCTTGTAAGTCTATTCCAGAGCTGAACTACCTTAGCTCTGCGGACACCCACACAGATTTTAGTGGTGAGCAGCTCTGGAGAGAGAGGAGACCCCAGTGAGTGGCAGCTGGATAAATAGACTAAAGTTGCGGGGAGAAACACCGATGTGTCCATGGTCACCCAGGCCGTCTGTGACCAAGCTAGAAATAGATCCCAGTTTTAGTGTCACTGAACTGATGTTTTATGTACTGAAGGTCTCTGCCACACTGGTGTTTTAGGCACTGGTGGAAACCCTTAGTACGGACACAATTTACACTAGTGCAGTCTGATTGGCACGGGTGCACCATGTCCCTGTTTGAAAGCTTGCGGGGTGGGGAGGGGGCCACGACGGTGACCTCACTGAAGCGTGAGGCTGGCTGAACAGTGCAGCTGGTAACGGAGGGGCAGCAGTGAGTGCTGGAGGTACGAGCCAGGAGCACAGCCCCACAGGACTGGACACTGACTTCTCCTGACCCAGGACACACACCCCCAGCTGTGTGCAGGGACTGCAGCTGAGCTGCCCTGCCAAGACATCCTGTGCCTCAATGGACAAACCACGTCTTCCTGCAGCCTAATACAGCCCCTTTCTGCAGCCTAATGGGGTCTGGGAACCTTTCCAAGCTGCGGGTGATGTGGCTCTGGCGTTACCGGGGTCTGTTCCTGGCTCTGGCTTTGACCTCCTTGGTGACCTTGGGGAAGTCATAGCCCCTCTCTGTTTTCCTCCTACCCATTGTCTTGGATTGTGGATCTCTTTGGTGCAAGGACTGTCCCTCTCTGTCTGTGCAGTGCCCAGCACAAAGCGGTGCTGATCTCAGTCAGGTTCTCTGCCATGTGCGGCACAATGGGGCCCTGATCTCTATCAGTGTCAGTGCAACGCAAGGTACAGTTTATGGACTCACAGACTTTAAGGCCAGAAGGGACCATCATGGTCATCTAGTCTGACCTCCTGCACATCGCAGGCCATAGAACCTCACTCACCCACTCCTAAAATAGACCCCTAACCTCTGGCTGAATTAATGAAGTCCTCAAATCATTATTTAAAGATTTCAAGTTACAAAAATAATCCACCATTTACACTAGTTTAAACCTGCAAATGACCCATGCTGCAGAGGAAGGCGCAAAAAAAAAACAACAACAACAAAGGAAGGAACATAAATCCACACTGTGTAGAGGTCAAGCATAGGAGTTTATTTCGTACAGCGCTGATGGAGTGTCACCTTGCTTATTAGGCTCAGAGCCACTGTCAATCAATTGATTACAATGGATTATATTCATTTTTCCATGGGTGGGGGAAAGTGATGGGGAGGCAGTTCTACACCCCCAGACAGGACTAGCCGCAAGACAAGATAGCACAGTAGCCAATGGTTAAAGGTTACATAATATCTCCGCCCATGGTTTTAGGTAAACAAGTTAACATTTAATTAGTATTTCAACAAAAATGTATTTGTATAATATATATATATATGTTGAATCCAGTTTGGGGTCCACAGGAATGAAGTAGCTCCTCTGATTGTCCACAGGTACATTCCTGGGGGTTAAAGCAAAGAAACAGTGAAAGTATATGGCAACAAAAGATTGTCTTTCAAGTTGTTCGTTTGTGTTTTTAAGGCAGGCATTGGTCCCTGGGAAAGGCAGGTGGGAGGAGGCCATATCTTATACTGACATGCTTGAACCATTCATAAACTCAAGGTTGGTATGTGGGAAGAACATCTCCCTACAATAGAAACTAACACAAATAAACAGGGCCTCATTGTTCAGTTTGCAACTTTAAATAAATAAAAAAAATAAGACACAATTATTGCCCCAAACATCTGGCATTTCTGCTGACTAGGCTGATCTTAGCAAAGCAAGGTTATTGTGTGCTTCTCTTAGCTAATCAGTATTTGCTAGGCCTCTAACCTCTTGACCAAACTCTGGACTTTGGGCCTGGAGAAAGAGTTGACACAATCCATATAGCAGGTTGTTATATAGCAGCACATGGATTTTAACCCTTCAATCCCTCCTCTTGACCCTAGGGTTCCCATAACCCACCAGGTCAAATACACGCTGGTAAAGCACCAATACCATTGAGAATGTTAGAATAGACACTCCCCACATAACTTGACAAAATAGCACCCAGATCCATCCCCAGGGAACCTTATTACCTGAGATGGCATTGCCCATAATTATGGCTTTAACCTTCACTGCCTGGTTCCGCGCCTCCGAGTATTTCACATCGGCCTGGTCTACGGTTTTCCTTATCAGGGTGTACCTGATACTGCCTTCCCCAGTATGCCTCTGGACCTTGGCCACCAACTCCTCGATATTCACCTGCAGGGCCTGTAGACCCTCCTCCAGATATTTACTGCCGTAGTGCCATTCTGGATCATGTGTTATGTTACCCGTCATTGGTGGAGTATGGTGGAGCTGCGTCCCGTCAACAGGGTTGCCCTTTGGGGGACCGTCATGCACACGGATGGATGTCTCAAGGGGTTGCGCTTTCCATTTAGTTCGATGGAGTGGTTCTGGGCAGTCAGACACCCGTAGGTACTGTTCATCTGGACCAGCTCCATGTGAGCCAGTTTGTCAGCGATGGCCACTTCGAACCTAGACAGATTCGTTAGAGTATTATATGGGCATGTACACAAAATTTCCGTATCAGAATGAGTGCAACATTCACTAGGATACAGTGCTGTCCCAGCAACCTTGGAGTATGCAACGCCGTCTATTCTAATACATGACCTCTTCTCCATATCGGCAGAGAGGTCACCATCCTGGCTCTCTATAAGTGAGGGATGCCTAAAGGTACCAAAAGACTGAAAAGTATACTGTGACTTGTCCAAACTGGTCTTTGGACTCATTGATTCTCTGTTCCCCCATGCCCATGGAGGGGTACTGGGGAGATAGGGTCCCACCACTTCTATAAGGGCTGGGTGGACCCAGCAATCAAGGAGATGGGTTACAATCCCTTTGTGGTGATGGCCAAAGTTTGTCCTGCTCTCCAAACAACTCTCCTACAGTGCCTTTATTTTAGTACCATTTATTAACAGGCTGGTGACTTCTTGACCCAGGTATTTTGTTATATCTAATGAGGTGGATGCAGAGTTTGACAGATCTTTTAAACTATCTAGGATCAATTGACTGGCCTTATTAGTATCCAATCCTCCATTTCACATGGCACACTACTTGCATGCTTCATTATGCACCACAGGGGCAGCAGGAGCCACAGGAGGAACCTCCCCCTGGTCACTCTGGTTGTCCTGGTCACCCTTCAGTCCTTTCTCTTTCACTTTCTCTTGTTCACCAGTGGAGAAACCTGTGGAGATACCTGTTGAGACACCTGTGGAGACATTGTTAGTACTGAAGATGCTGACTTAAACAATTTTAACTGATTTTGGTGCCTCGAAAATGTTCCTAATTTTTCCTCAACCTTTGCACATGTATTAGTAGTCAGAAGGACCTTCATAGGGTCTTGCCACCTTGGCTTTAAAATCTCTTTAACTTCTGGGTAAATGCGACACATTACCAAGTCCCCAACTTTAAATGCAGGTTTGCCCAAACTGCTGCTGTTGTCCAGCTGGGTTTGATTTTTTTTTCATTTGGTTCTATATGTTCTTTAACTCTCTGTCCAATGCCTTGATGTAGTTCTGCAGCCTGTCTGCAAAAAGCCCCGACCCCCCACCCAGAGGAGTACATCACAAGGCATTCTCATTGCTCTTCCAGTCATTAGTTCAAAGGGTGTTAGCTGAGTCGGCCTGTTAGAGCTACCTCTGATTCGATACAGTACAGCAGGAAGCATGCAAGCCCACCCGTCCCCTGTGTCCAGTACTGCTTTGGTTAAGGCTGTTTTCATTGTTCTATTTTTTTATTTTATTTTATTTTACCATTCCTGAACTTTTAGGGTGGTAGGGTATATGAAATCTTTGCTTTATTCCTAACGCCTTACGTGACTTTTTTATTACTCACCCTGTAAAGTGAGTTCCTTGGTCAGAGTCTATTGACAGTGGCAGACCCCATCTGGGTATTATTTCTTCGGCTAGGAGTTGAGGCACTGTTGTAGCAGTGCAGTTCTTATTTGGGAATGCCTTTACCCATACGGTAAAAGTATTAATAATTACCAGAATGTAAGTATACCCCCTGCTCTGCAGCAAGGATCCAGTAAAATTAATTTGCAGATTCTGCCATGGTCCCTTTGTCTGTGGCTAGTGATTCAGGGGGTACCTTTTTTTTTTTTAACCCTATATTTATTTGTGCACATACCACAAATTTTTTGAGGAATTGCGAGGCATTTTTTTTTATGGATGGCCACCACCAGTGTTCCAGGGTGGCCCTTATTTGTCTTCACCGCAGATGAGCTGGAGAATGGATGGCATGGAGCAGCAGAGCCCGTATGCACTCCGGGGCTACCAGCTCCTCTCTTCCTGGCCCATACCAGAGGTGATCTTTATACACACAGCCTTGTTTTTCCAATATACTTTTCTCTTCTAGGCTTATGGTTGCATATAGCTTTTTTAAATTCACTTCCTCTTCTGGTAGTGTAGCCGCACAGATCTTAAGATTTCCTTGTGCAGCTTCTTTAGCACATTTCTTTGCCAAGTAATTTCCCCTTCGTTCCTCACTTGAGATTTTATTACGTGCTTTTATTTTTACTACTGCAGGTTCTGATGGTAGTTTGGCAGCTTCTGTTAGACTTGAACTGCCTCCATATTTTTAATTGGCTTGCCGGTGGGCTCCTGCGTGACTGCGCGTCCATGACTGCGCGTCCATAAGGAAGTATGGGCTGGATGAATGCACTATAAGGTGGGTAGAAAGCTGGCTAGATTGTCGGGCTCAACGGGTAGTGATCAATGGCTCCATGTCTAGTTGGCAGCCGGTATCAAGTGGAGTGCCCCAAGGGTCGGTCCTGGGGCCGGTTTTGTTCAATATCTTCATAAATGATCTGGAGGATGGTGTGGATTGCACTCTCAGCAAATTTGCGGATGATACTAAACTGGGAGGAGTGGTAGATACGCTGGAGGGGAGGGATAGGATACAGAAGGACCTAGACAAATTGGAGGATTGGGCCAAAAGAAATCTGATGAGGTTCAATAAGGATAAGTGCAGGGTCCTGCACTTAGGACGGAAGAACCCAATGCACAGCTACAGACTAGGGACCGAATGGCTAGGCAGCAGTTCTGCGGAAAAGGACCTAGGGGTGACAGTGGACGAGAAGTTGGATATGAGTCAGCAGTGTGCCCTTGTTGCCAAGAAGGCCAATGGCATTTTGGGATGTATAAGTAGGGGCATAGCGAGCAGATCGAGGGACGTGATCGTTCCCCTCTATTCGACATTGGTGAGGCCTCATCTGGAGTACTGTGTCCAGTTTTGGGCCCCACACTACAAGAAGGATGTGTATAAATTGGAGAGAGTCCAGCGAAGGGCAACAAAAATGATTAGGGGTCTAGAACACATGACTTATGAGGAGAGGCTGAGGGAGCTGGGATTGTTTAGCCTGCAGAAGAGAAGAATGAGGGGGGATTTGATAGCTGCTTTCAACTACCTGAAAGGGGGTTCCAAAGAGGATGGCTCTAGACTGTTCTCAATGGTAGCAGATGACAGAATGAGGAGTAATGGTCTCAAGTTGCAGTGGGGGAGGTTTAGATTGGATATTAGGAAAAACTTTTTCACTAAGAGGGTGGTGAAACACTGGAATGCGTTACCTAGGGAGGTGGTAGAATCTCCTTCCTTAGAGGTTTTTAAGGTCAGGCTTGAGAAAGCCCTGGCTGGGATGATTTAACTGGGAATTGGTCCTGCTTCGAGCAGGGGGTTGGACTAGATGACCTTCAGGGGTCCCTTCCAACCCTGATATTCTATGATTCTATGTAGTCATGGACTACTCCAGAAGCATATCTGCTGCCAGTGTGTACAGTGAGCTTCTTGCCCTCCCCCATGCTCAAAGCTTCAGTGCGGGCTGTTAGCTCCACTTCTCGTGCTGACTTTGATCCTTCCATCTGTTCCATTACTGAGTACCGCTGCCCATCCGGCGCGTGGCACTCCGTTTTCATACTTTCTTAATCCATCTACATACAGAATTATATCTAGATTCTCTAATGGCTCTTCTTTAACTCTCCCCAACACTTCCTCTGCTGTATCTGTAAGACATTCGTTTACCTCTTCCTCTATGTTCAGACATTCGGTTACATTTCTTTCTTTCTTCCTTACTATGGAGAAATTGGGGGTTTTGCAGGCACAGTGTTGACTTCCACTGACTCCTTCGGGTTCGGCACCGGTTAGCTTGAGTCTTACTGTGGATGCAGTAAAGGTGGAACGGCTTTCCCATATTGGGTAAGCCCAAGCTGGGGGCAGAGGCTAGAGGTTGCTTTACACTTATGAATGCCTCCTCTTGTTCTGTGCCCCATATTACTAAATTATTTGCAGGTTTTCCCCCTCTGGTAAGTTTTGGATTGATCCCACCATTTCTGAGTACTCTGGCATATATATGTCCTACAGTAATTAAGGTTTCAGGGTAGCAGCCGTGTTAGTCTGTATTCGCAAAAAGAAAAGGGGTACTAGTGGCACCTTAGAGACGAACCAATTTATTTGAGCATGAACTTTCATGAGCTACAGCTCACTTCATCGGGTGCTTATGCTCAAATAAATTGGTTCGTCTCTAAGGTGCCACTAGTACCCCTTTTCTTTTTACAGTAATTAAGGAGTCCCAGCACTTTCCGGACTTCCTTAACTGTCTGTGGTTTTTTTAACTCTCAAATTGCCTGCTTGTGAATGAGACTATTTTTATTTTTGCCTTAAAACTAATTTCTTTTTAATATGATTTTGCTATCTGAGGATGTTTGGGTTTTGTTTTTGTTAACACAGACACTTTCTGGCTTGCTTTTGGATTCGAAGCCATTAGCAGCTTAGAGACTCTGTCTTAAAAAGGGACACAATTAACTTTCACCAGAGTTTTGATTACTGTTAACTTTAACTCCTGCTTCTGAAACACACAGCGATTTGAAAAAGAAAACATAACCTATTGTGGCTCCTTTTGGAGTCCTAATAGGATTTTCATTAAGTAATATGTTTTGTTTGCATTTCTTTTACCCCTTCTACAATATACGTTGCACGTGTTCTGGGTTATATGCACATCTCTTTTTATGGTTTAACTTTTATAACATTAACTATATTAATTTTTATATAAGGTGTAACTGGTTTTTTGTTGTGCTTACAGAGTTTTTATGTACCCTTATTAACATGATAGTTTAATTACACAGAATCATTTTAAGGCTCAGTGTTTTTAACGTTACTCTTTTTGTGTGTGTGTGTTTTGTTTTGTGTACCTTACCCCTCTTGTTGCTTTAGAGGGGCACTATCTTTTTAAATTTTTTTATTTATTTACGACAGCTTTTATTTGCTAGGTTGTTACCAAAAAATAAATTGAGAATTTTTATTTTTCTGGGTTTGATTGCCCTGCTGCAGCCATGACTTCGGTTTTTCTAAAGATATTGAACATGATGAAGCATTGAGGTACCTTAAGGGTTAAATACTAAAGCCAAACAACACTATTTATTTCTGTCTGGCAGAAGTGTTTATTTTTGCAACTTTGAATGAAAGATTTAAATGGATTTTAGTGGTATTATTTTGAATCAAAACAAAACCCAGCTTATTTTAAACTTCCAAACAGAGGTTTCCAGACCATTTAGTATATTTACTAAATATATACATTTTACACAGCTGTTTATAGATTACATTTGGGGGCAGTTAAGTTCCAATAGAAACCCCTTATGTTGTTCAGATTGTCTTTTTGTCTGGATTATTTACAGACATTCGTTTGGAAAAGGGCCCCTTTTCTTTTAGAATGGCTGGAAAGAAACCAAGAATTCTTTTTATAACACCGTTTTTAAAACAATTTTACGATGTTTAACTGCTTAATTCCCTCCAGCCTCTGCAGAGTTAACCTTTCAACTTCTTTACCAATGAAGGAGTTTTTAATATACAACAATGTTAGCAACAGGATATAAAACACAAAACACACATTTTTTGTTTTGACAGTAGATCCATGATCTTTTGGGTTGCTCTTCATCTGGTACTAGGTGTTGGGTGTGTGTTTTTTTTTTTTTTTACTCCTGTCACTATTTCCTAAGGGCTTTTGACCTGTTTTTAAATTTTTTATTTGTTGCCTGCCTGCTTGTTTGTGCCCGATCCTGCTTTCCTCGCTTTTCATTGACACAGGCTTTCATTTCTTCGATCTTCAGATGGTGAGCTGTAACTGGGTGTGAACTCCCCCTCTTCTGATCTGGGAACATGTTCCAGGCATTCTCCTGCTCTGGGGTCTTTTCTTATTTCCTAACAATTACATGTTTTAAAGCAAAAGCTCTTATCTCTCAGAGCCTGGTTCTCAGATTTTAAAGTTGTGTTTTCTTTTTTTTATGCTGAGCATATTTAATAGAACTATTTCTGCTTTGTCTGTTTTGTCACTTTTCTGATTATTCCACCAAGTAACCAGATCTGTCTCTGGTCCAGCAGCAGAATAGTTTGTTCTTTTCTTAATTGCTGCTTGTCGAGTTTTGACATGTTTGTACTCCAAATACTCCCGAGCGCTAATTATTGCCTCTCCCTTTGATGCCATGGGGTTTTACTCACCCCTGGCTGCTGACCTTGTGGGAATGTGCGTCTTCCCTCCTGTGACTTCAATCTTCATGGCCGTCAGCATTGATGGGGAATATACATCTCCCCTCACTTTACTGTGCTCTAAATCTCCACACTAACAACTTTGATGGGGGATTTTCATTCCCCTTCCCCCCCCCCCCCCCCCGAATGCCGTGGTCTTAAAACACACACACTTGCTGGCCTTATGGGTTGGAGATTTTGTGCTATTCGTAGGTCTGTACATCACATGCGTGCAAGGGGGGGGACACTCCCCCAGGGCTTGCAGTGTTACGTGCAATGAGGAAATGGGACCACCAGTTTGCACTGCCTACCACTTCCGTACCCAAGCCAGTCCTGGGCTTAGCTCACGGCCAATTGCTTGCTGGTGGTTTATCAAAGTCCTCCGTAACACACCCCTTAATTAAACAGTACATAACCCTCTTGAACATGTCTCTCCTCCCAGTTAGTACCCTTATTTAACTCTTCTGCTTGGACTACACGTGTCTAGGTTCCTTTACACTTAAATTTAAAAGTGGAAACAAGATGGGGATGAGAGACTACTATCCCTAGCCTAATGAGGTGGTAAATTAAATATACTCACCTCCTTTTTGGATTTCGGTCTCAGATCCTGAAGCAGCTCACAAGCTTGTATCCCGGATGAGCCTCCGAATTGAAGGAACATAAATACATGCCATGTAATGGTCAAGCATAGGAGTTTGTTACATACAGAGCTGATGGAGTGTCACCTTGCTTATTAGGCTCATAGACACTGTCAGTCAATTGATTTCAATGGATTATATGGATTTTCCATGGGTGGGGGAAAGTGATGGGGTAGGCAGTTCCACACCCCGGACAGGACTAGCCGCAAGACAAGATAGCACAGTAGCCAATGGTTGAAAGGTTACACAATGTCTCTGCCTATGGTTTCAGGTTAACAAGTTAACATTTAATTAGTATTTCAACAAAAATATATTCGTATAAAATATATATATATATGTTGAATCCAATTTGGGGTCCACAGGAATGAAGTAGCTCCTCTGATTGTCCACAGGTACATTCCTGGGGGTTAAAGCAAAGAAACAGTGAAAGTATATGGCAATAAAGATTGTCTTTCAAGTTGTTCGTTTGTATTTTTAAGGCAGGCATTGGTCCCTGGGAAAGGCAGGTGGGAGGAGGCCATATCTTATACTGACATGCTTGAACCATTCATAAACTCAAGGTTGGTATGTGGGAAGAACATCTCCCTACAATAGAAACTAACACAAATAAACAGGGCCTCATTGTTCAGTTTTGCAACTTTGAATAAGACACATTTATTGCCCTTAACATCTAGCATTATTGCTGACTAGGCTGATCTTAGCAAAGCAAGGTTATTGTGTTGTTTGTTCTGCTTCTCTTAGCTAATATTGTCTAGGCCTCTTGACCAAACTCCGGACTTCCGGCCTGGAAAAAGAGTGAACACAATCCATGTATCAGGTTGTTATATAACATCACAAGAATTTTAACCCTCTGGCCCCAATTCCACTCCCATTCCAACCCCTTCCTGAAATCTCTGGCCCTGCCTCATCCCCTGGGTGCGTCACATTTCCTCTCCTCCCCGGCTTGTGGCAAGCCTGGGAGGGAGGTTGGAGAAGTGCAGTAGGGACGCGCTCAGGGGAGAAGGCGGAGCAGAGGTGAGCTGGAGAAGGGGGTCACAGGAAGTAACCCTTGGGGGGGCAGAGGAACAGCTTCCCTCCACAGCTCATCTATGCTCCACCTCCTCCCCCCAAGCATGCCGCCACTCCGCTTCTCACCCCTCCCTCCCAGGCTTGCCGTGGGAAACAGCTGTTTGGCACAGCAAGCCTGGGAGGGAGGGCAGAGAGGCGGTGGCACACTCGGGGGTGGAAGGAGAGGTGGAGCGCAGGGGAGCTGCATCCACCAATTTTTCCCCATGGGTGCTCCAACCCCAGAGCACCCACAGAGTCGGCGCCTATTGCTCCTGCAGGAGGGAGAGGGACAGCAAATACACCGGAGAGGGGAAGGTTTGCACCGTCTGGTTTGGCAGATGGAAAAGGGCAGGAAATGCACAGAATGGAGAAAGGGAGGAGGACAGGGTGTGGCAGACCTGCTGGGAGTTGTTTAATAAGTGGCCTAGATTCTAGTAACAGAGCCATTAGGTTTGGAGGTGCAAATGTTCTAATTTGTTGAACACAAGATAACCCACCTACATGGAGCTAGGAAAACTCACCAGCAGCTGCTGTGAGATATGAAGGGGGGCACCCACCAGTCAGGCTTAGGGGAATTGCCCCTCCCTTCATATTCAGCTCCTCACAATGAGGAGGGTGTTGGGCTTCCTACCAGAAAGCTCTCCCTGGACCCTGCTAGGGGCTCCATCTCCTGTATCAGTCTGTGACTAGTAGGTGTGTGATGGATCTGCTGGAGAGACAAGGGGCTCTCTTCATCTTCTCACCCTGGTGTTTCCTGGATGCTCTGAGCGGGATCGGATGGAACTCCGTTGACTGTGATCCACCCAGAGCTTCCATTTGATTGGCTCCTCTCCCCCACAAATAGTTGGGTTGTGAGTGGGGCAGCAGATACTGATTGTTGGATTCTTGCTCTTTCAGGGGCCGGTGACCTTCGAGGAGGTGGCTGTGTATTTCACCAGGGAAGAGTGGGCTCTGCTGGACCCCGCTCAGAGAGCCCTCTACAGAGACATCATGCAGGAAAACTATGAGAATGTGACCTCACTGGGTAAGGATTTCTGTCCCCTCGGTTCTTGGAAGGGGAAATGAAGAGATAAGGTTCACGCCACTCCCACAATGCCACCTCTACTCTGTCCTGTTTCAGCATCACCCCCATATGCCAGTGACACACACACACTAACAGAGACCCACCCTGCTGCAGAACACTTTGGGAAGAGAGCACAGGAGCAGACTCGCACACTGTCAAATATCTCCTGTTTGCTCAAGTAAAACTGGGGGTTAGGTCCAGCATAACGAACAGAAGGTTCCTACCTCTGGCCTTCTCTTAAACATTAAGCCTACTCCACCCAGACCAGAATGTGCTTGGGGTGTAACAAGCTGGCTGCTGGAGTCAGAGCTGCTGGTCCAGGGTTACTTATCACACAGACGCTCAGGGCGTCCTTGAATTCTGGCCTGGAGTATCCAGAGAAGGGAGCTCCAGCAGCAGAACCTTGAATATCACCCAGGATTACAGATGATACAACTCCTCACTGCTCTGGATTGCACCCGAGCATGTGAAAATGGCTTAGGTTGGTAATGAAACTTCTTGAGACCTGGAGAGTCATGCTCCCCCATCCCCATGTGCAATAGCCACAATCTCTCTTCTCTGCAGGCATCTTGGATTTTTGAGTCCCTCATTCCTGAAGTCACATGACCCCGATTCTTATTTTTCACATTCTGCTTTTCCAGACTAATTAGAGTTTGTTACTCCTGAATTATAGCTTCTAATTTCCCAGTGTTCTCCACAGATTTTCCTACTCCCTCCCATTGCACTGGACTCACTTGATTCCCTAGTACACAAGAACATCCATACTGGGTCAGACCAAAGGTCTATCTAGCCCAGTATCCTGTCTTCTGACAGTGGCCAATGCCAGGTGCCCCAGAGAGAATGAACAGAACAGGACAATGATCAAGTGATCAATCCCCTGTTGCCCATTCCCAGCTTCTGGCAAACAGAAGTTAGGAACCCCATCCCTGCCCATCCCAGCTAATAGCCATTGATGGACCTATCCTCCGTGAATTGATCATGTTCTTTTTTTGAACGCTGTTATAGTCTTGGCCTTCTCAACATCCTATGGCAAAGAGTTCCACAGGTTGACTGTGCATTGTGTGAAGAAATACTTCCTTTCGTTTGTTCTAAACTTGTTGCCTATTAATTTTCATTTGGTGATTCCTAGTACTTGTGTTTATGAGAAGTAGTAAATAAAACTTTATTTACTTTCTCCACACAAGTCATGATTTTATAGATCTCTCTCATACCCCCGCCCTTGTCTCTTTTCCAAGCTGAAAAGTCCCGGTCTTTTTAATCTCTCCTCCTAGCCCTGGTCTACACTATGAGTTTAGGTTGAATTTAGCAGCATTAAATCAATTTAACCCTGCACCCAGCCACACTTCAAAGCCATTTTTTTGACTTAAAGGGCTCTTAAAATCAATTTCTGTACTCCTCCCCGATGAGGGGATTTGCGCTGAAATAGACATCGCTGGGTCAAATTTGGGGTAGTGTGGATGCAATTCAATGGTATTGGCCTCTGGGAGCTATCCCAGAGTGCTCCATTGTGACCGTTCTGGACAGCACTCTCAACTCAGATGCACTGGCTAGGTAAACAGGAAAAGCCCCACGAACTTTTGACTTTCATTTCCTGTTTGACCAGCATGGCAAGCTGATCAGCACAAGTGACAGTGTAGAGCTCAACAGCAGAGGTGACCATGCAGTCCCAGAATCACAAAAGAGCTCCAGCATGGACCAAATGGGAGGTATTGGATCTGATCGCTGTATGGGGAGATGAATCTGTGCAATGAGAACTCTATTCCAAAAGACAAAATGCCAAAATATATGGAAAAAATCTCCAAGGGAATGAAGGACAGAGGCTATAACAGGGACCCGCAGCAGTGCCGTGTGAAAATTAAGGAGCTCAGGCAAGCCTACCAAAAAAGCAAAGAGGCAAACAGCTGGTCCGGGTCAGACCCCCAGAGAAGCCGCTTCTATGATGAGCTGCATGCAGTTCTAGGGGGCCCCTCATCACTACCCCACCGCTGTACGTGACTCCTGCAAGGGGGGAGTCTCCTGCAAGAGGGGTGAGGATTTAGGGGACGAGGAAGATGGTGATGCGGAGGAGGATGAAACAGTTCTCCCCAACAGCCAGGAACTGTTTATCACCCTGGAGACAGTACCCACCCTGGAGACGGACCTTGAAGGTGGAGAAGGCAGCTCTGGTGAGTGTACCTTTGTAAATATAATACATGGTTTAAAAGCAAGCGTGTTTAATGATTAATTTGCCCTGAAGACTTGGGATGCATTTGCAGCCAATACAGCTACTGGAAAAGTCTGTTAATGTGTCTGAGGATGGAGCGGAATTCCTCCAGGGACATCTCAATGAAGTTCTCCTGTAGGTACTCCCAAAGCCTTTGCAAAAAGTTTCTGGGGAGGGCAGCCTTATTGCGTCCTCCATGGTAGGACACATTACCACACCAGGCCAGTAGTATGTAGTCTGGAAGCATGGCAGCGTATGGTCCTGGTGTTTCCTGGCATTCAAGCAACATCCGTCCTTTATCTCTCTGTGTTATCCTCAGGAGAGTGATATCATTCATGGTCACCTGGTTGAAATAGGGGAATTTTATTGAGGGGATGTTCAGAGGTTGCCGTTCCTGCTGGCCTGTTTGCCTGTGGCTGAAAAGAAATCATCCCCACTTTTAGCCACGCGTTGGCCAGGGGGGCATTCACGCTAAGCTGTTCGCGTTTGGCTGGCAGGGATCTTCCCTGTTACTAGTCACACGGTGGGGGGAGGGGTGAAGCAATCATCCCAGAGAATTGGATGTGTGGGGGGGTTAGTTGCATTTGTGCTGCATGTTAACCTGAAAACCGCAGCCCCTCCTTTTAAATGGTCAACCCAATGGGTGCTTGGTATGGGAAATGAGGGTGCTACTGTCTGAAACCATTCCCACATGTAATGAAGGTAAAAGAAGCCAAAAGACTGTGGCTTACCATGGCTGCCTGCAAGCCAAAATCTGTTGCACAACCCTGCGTTGGTGATCTCTCACATCAAACTGGCAGCCCTCAATATAAGGGGCAAAATGTGACCTTGTAAAGCACATGTGTTATGTAATGTTAACAGCTTGGTTCATCGTGAAAAAGTCTACACATTCTTCTCTAAAATGTGTCTTTTTAAATACTACTCTCCCTTTTTTTTCTTCTGCAGCTGCAAATGTTTCAACTCTCCCCCATCATCTCCATCACAGAGACTAACGAAGATAAGAAGGTGAATAAAATGCACTCGCATTGAAATGTTCTCTGAGCTCATGCAGTCCTCCCACACTGAAAGAGCTCAGTAAAATGAGTGGATGCAAGCAATGTCAGAGTCCAGGAAAGCACAAAATGAACACGAGGACAGGTGGTGGGAGCAAGAGGAGAGGTGGCGGCTGCATGATGAGAGGAGGCAGGATGCAATGTTGAGGCTACTGGAGGATCAAACTGATATGCTCCAGCATATGGTTGAGCTGCAGAAAAGGCAGCAGGAGCATAGACCACCGCTGCAGCCCCTGTGTAACGGTCTGTCGTCCTCCCCAGTTTCCATAGCCTCCTCACACAGATGCCCAAGAACGCGGTTGGGGGGCTCCGGGCACCCAACCACTCCACCCCAGAGGATTGCCCAAGCAACAAAAGGCTGGCATTCAATAAGTTTTGAAGGGCAGTGTGGCCTTGTTCATCCTTCCTCCCCTTCTCCAGCACCCTACCCTGTGCTTCCCTCCTCCCCCACCCCTCCCAGGCTACCTTGGTAGTTATCCCCCTATTTGTGTGACGAATTAATAAAGAATGCATGAATTTGAAACAACAACGACTTTATTGCCTCTGCAAGTGGTAATCAAAGGGGGGAGGGTGGTTGGCTTACAGGGAAGTAGAGTGAACCAAGGGGGCGGGTTTTCATCAAGGAGAAACACACAGAACCGTCACACCGTAGCCTGGCCTGACATGAAACTGGTTTTCAAAGTTTCTGTGATGCGCAGTGGGCCCTGCTGTGCTCTTCTAACTGCCCTGGTGTCTGGCTGCGTGTAATCTGTGGCCAGGTGATTTGCCTCAACCTCCCACCCCACCATAAACATCTCCCCCTTACTCTCACAGATGTTATGGAGCACACAGCAAGCAGTAATAACAATGGGAATATTGGTTTCGCTGAGGTGTAACTGAGTCAGTAAACTGCACCAGCGCGCTTTTAAACATCCAAATTCACATTCTACGACCATTCTGCACTTGCTCAGCCTATAGTTCCTGACTACTGTCCAGGGTGCCTGCGTATGGCTTCATAAGCCATGGCATTAAGGGGTAGGCTGGGTCCCCAAGGATAACTATAGGCCAGTGGTCCCTATCCTTTCTGTGGGAATAGCATGTTGCTATTCCCAGAAGACTGTGGTGGAGGCCAGATGCCCCACCGCTGAAATGCCACTGCCGAGCGTGGCTGCCACAGAACTGGCTGCTGAAATGCCTCTGAGAAGTGGCAGCGGCAAGAAGTGTTGCCGCCAAAATGCCACCGAGAAACGGCAACACATTTCAGTGGGTGGTTTCAATCCCTCATAAACTGAGTGTTGGGCATCTTCAAGGACCTGGGGTGCTGGTCCTGGGGATTCACTGGTTTACTAAGTATGACACTGTATGGAATTGAGACACTTTATATTATTTTATTATTAATACCAATATGATAAAATGGCAATGAATTGTGCTAGATATGCCATGTAAGGTGTCAGTGAAAATGTTATGATTTTCCAAGTATAATGATTTTGTTTCTATGTTTGTATCACCTCTCTGTTGTGAGTTATAGACATGTAGAGTATATCTGTATTTCCAGACTTGTGCAGTGTTTCTGTGTGACACACCCAGACATTGGCATCAGCACTGCCGAGCCTGTTCAGTGGCCCATCCAGGGTCATCAGCTGTACAATGAACCGATGGAAAGGATTAAGGGGATACACCTATTGAGTCAGCAAGACATGCAGGGGTATTCTTGTGTACTAAGAATTCCAAGGCTTTTCAATGCCATGTGCTGTGAACCTTGTGTTTGGGACACAGGAAGTAGAAGCCACATGGCAAAAGGAATGTAAAGGGCAGCTGCATCATCTCCATTTTGTCTTCAATCCCTCTTGCTATCTCTGGATCAACTTCTCTACAAACTAAAGCCTTGAACAAAGAACTGAATAATGTGGATATGTCCCAGACAGACTTTCAAGCCAGGAACTCACCAGTACTGTTAAGAACCAGATATATAGATTTCTGAATGTATCTGACTGCTTTCCCATTTAACAACTCCTTCCTTCCTTCCTTCCTTCCTTTTATAATAAACCTTTAGGTTTGATGCTTTCTTTCTTATAAACCTTTAGTTTAGATTCTAAAGGATTGGCTGGCAGCATAGTATTTTGGGTAAGATCCAAATCTATACTGACCCGGTAATGTGGCTGACTCTGTGGTCAGAAGAACATTTTGTTTATGTGAGCAGAGTTTATAAATAACCTCTAACTTTACTGGACCTAGGTGCTGATTGGGCATCAGAGAACTGGAATGCAATAAAGGGGGCTGTGTGATTTCTTTTTTCAGCTTCTCGATAACCAGTGTGGGGGATCAGAAGCACAGTTTGTGATTGGTCAGTGAATTTCACTTCAGTGTTCACCACCAGTTTTGGAAGCATCTGCTCTCCGTTTTGCAGCCTGCCCTGATCTTGGCATTTTCAGTGAGGACTGCCCCAGGCACACTGGGTCACACTAAGTACTGAAGTTAAATTAATAGTTTATGAGAAAGTTGTATGAAATCAACTGAACTCCTTTATATTCTTTCATCTGAGCAGGATTTCTAGTTTCCAAACCTGATGTGATCTCCCAGCTGGAACAAGGGGAAGAGTCATGGGTCTCAGACCTTCAGGGCTCAGAGGAAAGAGAGATCCTGGGAGCTACCTGCACAGGTGAGGAAACATTAACCCAACTCAGAATCTGTAAGTGCCTGCAGGAAACATCTGGGATGCCCTACAAAGCCCTTGGGAGGTCTCTCAGTTCATTATTGTCCCTAGCAAGGGTCGTATTCTCAGGGTAAATATAGCTCATGGCTTCCTGTAGATCCTAGCAGACACCAGGCCAGTAGCTTCCTCCTTCCCCCTGTGAATTTGGATGGGATGTGAAGGCCAAATTGATCCCCTCCTCTCTCCTATTTAGGGGAAGTGTTTGGAGGAGTTCAGTTCCTGTTTTTATTTGACCTCTCTCCAGCACTTTTTTTCATATGACTTTCCCCTTTCCATCCCTGTTTGAGGTTTCTGTCTCTATCACAGGAGGTGATGCAATGGCATGTAAGAAAGAGGAGCAGAATTCTCAGCAGGAAAATGTTGAGCAAGTGGATGAACACAGACCATTACTGCGAAGATCGAAAAGGAATGTGTCCAGGAGTCATGAACAGGAAAAATCCTGTGAGATTCAGCACAGACCAGAAAAAGAGCAGGGAAACCAGCCAGGGGAGAGAGTGGGGGGTAAATGTATTTCCTGTCGGGGAACTCGGAAGGACCTCAAGGAAAGCACAACACAGCAGGAAATCCTCAGGGGAAAGACAAAAAATACATGCACTGATTGTGGGAAAAACTTAGGTGACGACTCAGCCCTTATAAAGCATCAGAGAATCCACACGGGAGAGAGACCCTATGAATGCCGTGAGTGTGAGAAAAGCTTCAATAGCACCTGGTACCTTATTAGGCATCTGAGAACCCACACAGGAGAGAGGCCCTATGAATGCTGTGAATGTGGAAATTGCTTCACTAACGGCTCAGCCCTTTCTGAACATCAGAGAATCCACACTGGGGAGAGGCCCTATGAATGCCGTGAGTGTGGGAAAAGCTTCAGTTACAAATCAAACCTTGTTCATCATGAGAGAATCCACACAGGGGAGAGGCCCTATCAATGCCGTGAGTGTGGGAAAACCTTCACTAGCAGCTCAGCCCTTTCTAAACATCAGAGAATCCACACTGGGGAGAGGCCCTATAAATGCCGTGAGTGCGGGAAAACCTTCAGTCACAGCTCGCACCTTATTCCGCATCAGAGAATCCACACAGGGGAGAGGCCCTACGAATGCCGTGCGTGTGGGAAAACCTTCAATCACAGCTCGCACCTTATTACGCATCAGAGAATCCACACAGGGGAGAAGCCCTACGAATGCCATGAGTGTGGGAAAAACTTCACTACCAGCTCAGCCCTTTCTAAACATCAGAGAATCCACACAGAGGAGACGCCCTAAGAATGCCGTGAGTGTGGGAAAAACTGCAATTGCAGCTCATGAGACACCAGAGACTCCACACAGGTGTGAAACCCTATGAAAGCAGTGAGTGTGGGAAAGCCACCTCTTCACACTGAGCCCATGTTAGCCATCAGAGACTCTGCAAGGGATATCAATACCATAAAAACCCCTAGGGTTATCAATACTTTTTCTTTAATACTTTTCCTGATTCCCACATAGTAACTTTTAAAAGCTGTTTGAAGCACCGATATCCCTCAGCTTGTCCAGATGAGTGGCCCATTTTTGCCTTTTGCAGTTTGACCTCTGTTGACATGGGACCCATTTGTCCTTTCTACCTGTTGTCCCATGAGTAATTTGAGTGTGCCCTTCCCATAAGAAACAAGGGAGCATCACATTTATACATTCTTCCTATTGCAAAGTTATTGCAAGAGTCAACAATGATACAGATTGTATCATTGCCGTTTGTTCTCATGTTGTTCTGGGTGGTGCCGAAGAGCAGTTATAATGAGAACTTTTCAAATTATATTTAAATGACGAGGAGCAGAGGCAAGAAAAAAGTATCATTTCAGCCTCTGTGATACTAGAGGGAAATGTAAAAAGTGACAAAGAGTCCTGTGGCACCTTATAGGCTAAAAGACGTATTGGAGCATAAGCTTTCCTGGGTGAATCCCCACTTCGTCAGATGCATGTAGTGGAAATTTCCAGAGGCAGGTATAAATATGCAGGCAAGAATCGGGCTAGAGATAATGAGGTTAGTTCAATCAGGGAGGATGAGGCCCTCTTCTAGCAGTTGAGGTGTGAACCCCAAGGGAGGAGAAACTGCTTTTGGAGTTGGCGAGCCAGTCACAGTCTTTGTTTAATCCTGAACTGATGGTGTCAAATTTGCAAATGAACTGAAGCTCAGCAGTTTCCCGTTGAAGTCTGGTCCTGAAGTTTTTCTGCTGCAGGATGGCTACTTTTAAATCTGCTATTGTGTGTCCAGGGAAATAGAAGTTTTCTCCTACAGGTTTTTATATATTGCCATTCCTAATACCTGATTTGTGTCCATTTCAAGTGCAGTTCTGTCAACAGGAGAGAACTCTCCAATTTACTGGACAGGCTAACAAAGAAACAGCAGTGATTTAAAATCTCCACTGGGAAATGGTGAACAACAGCAGAACACCAACTAACTGAAGAAAGTTCATATGATCACAGTGCAGTTCAATTTTTTAAGTAAATATTGTCTCAGATGGCTAAGTTGGCAGGAGAAGCTCTCCTGCTGATGTAGTGCTATCTACACAGGGGGTTAGAGCTGTGTAACTATGTTGCTCAGCTGTGTTGATTTTTCACACCCCTGAGCAATATAGTTATACCGATAAATGTCTTTAGTGTGGACCAGATGGTTTTTGCTTGTGTTTTCTGCATTTACATTACTTCTCCCCTACCTCTTCCTACTTTGGAAGATTAAAAAGTGTGAAAAGAGAGGTATTTTTCCTCATTATGCAAACATTCCCACATAGGAGATGCCTTCCACCAACACACATGGCAGAAGAACCAGAAGTGGTTGGGACTACGTTGGGACAAACCACAACTTGAGCCAAGGTTCAGTTGTTGGCAATGGGGATAAAAAGAAAACCAACATATATGACAAGAATTTGTGATCCTTGAATATGTTGTTGTTACCAATGAAAATGAAATTATATGTGACGTTATTGGTTAAAGGGTAAGAGAACTAATTGTTTGATCTGAATTATTTTGGAAAACTGAATGTTTTATTTTTTCAGCCGTACAGGAAATGATGGCTAATCTTCAAAAGTTAATTTGATTTAATTTATCCCCTGTAGTGTAAGGAGTTTTGGTAGAAAACCTCACTCCAAAGGTTGGGGTGGGAGAATAGGTTTTAGAAAGAGTGTATAAGAGAATATTGGGCCAGTGTAGATTTTAATTGTTTCTATTTTAAATAGAACATATTTTGCTTAGCTTCAAAGTCAATTTCTATTAAACGGAAAACTACTGGAGGAGACAAGTTGTATAACCTTTTTCCCCACTTACACTGTAAGGGTCACTGACTTCACCACTTCTCTAATTGCAAAGGAAAGGCATGACATCTGTCATAGGATGTGTCCAGCAGGTAGGAGAGCTGCAATTGTCAACCATCAACCAGGCTGAAGTCCGTTGCCTTTCATATCAAGAAGCCATCTAAAGGCTGGTCTACACTGAAAAGCTATGTTGACATAGCCACATTTCTCAGGGGTCTGAAAAATCCACTCTTCTGAGGCCTGGTCTACACTACAAGTTTGTTGGATTTAGCAGTGTTAAATCAAATTAACCCTGCACCCGTTCACACAGCGAAGCCATTTTTTTCAACATAAAGGGCTCTTAAAACTGATTTCTATACTCCTCCCCAACGAGGGGATTATTGCTGAAATCGACATCACCATTTCGAATTAGGGTTAGTGTGGACGCAATTCGAAGGTATTGGCCTCCGAGAGCTATCCCACAGTGCACCATTGTGACCGCTCTGGACAGCACTCTGAACTCGGATGCACTGGTCCAGGTGTACAGGAAAAGTCCCGGGAACTTTTGAATCTCATGCCCTATTTGGCCAGTGGTGCTCATCAGCACAGGTGACCATTCAGAGCTCATCAGCACAGGTAACCATGCAGTCCCACAATCACAAAAGAGCTCCAGCATGGACCCAACAGGAGGTACGGGATCTGATCGCTGTATGGGGAGAGGAATCCGTGCTATCAGAACTACATTCCAAAAGACGAAATGCCAAAACATTTCAAAAAATCTCTGAGGCCATGAGGGACAGAGGCTACATCAGGGACGCAACACAGTGCCGCATGAAACTTAAGTAGCTCAGACAAACCAGAAAACCAAAGAATCAAACTGACGCTCTGGGACAGAGCCCCGGACATGCCGCTTCTACGCTGGGCTGCATGCAATTCTAGGGGGGGCCGCCACCACTACCCCACCCCGTCCATGGACTCCAATGATGGGGTACTCTCCGCCATGCCTGAGGATTTTGTGGACAGGGAAGATGAGGAGGACAAGCTTGAGGAGAGCACACAGCACACCATTCTCTCCGACAGCCAGGATCTTTTTATCACCCTGACTGAAATACCGTCCCAACCCAACCAAGCCGGAGAAGGGACCTCTGGTGAGCATACCTTTTAAAATATTTTATATGTTATAAAAGCAAGCGTTTTTTTTTAATGATTAAGTAGCCCTGAGGACTTGGGATGCATTCTTGGCCAGTACACCTACTGGAAAAGTCTGTTAATGTGTCTGGGAATGGAGTGGAAATCCACCAGGGACATCTCCATGAAGCTCTCCTGGAGGTACTCTAAAAGCTTTTGCAGAAGGTTTCTGGGGAGAGCAGCCTTATTCCGTCCCCCATGGTAGGACACTTGACCACGCCATGATAGTAGCAAGTAATCTGGTATCATTGGATGACAAGGCCTGGCAGCATATGGTCCCGGTGTTTGCTGGCATTCAAGTAACATCCGTTCTTTATCTCTCTGTGTTATCCTCAGGAGGGTGATATCGTTCATGGTAACCTGGTTGAAATAGGGGAATTTAATTAAGGGGACATTCAGAGGTGGCCATTCCTACAGGGCTGTTTTCCTGTGGCTGAAAAGAAATCCTCCCCACAGTTAGCCACGTGGTGGGAAGGTGCGGGAGGCATTGGCGCTGAGCTGTTCACGTTTGGCTAGCAGGGATCTTCCTTGATATCAGCCACATGGTGGGGTGAAGGGTAAAGCAATCATCTCAGAGAATTGGATTGGGCGGGGGGTTAGTTTGGTTTCTGCTGCTGTACGTTAACAGGAAAACCGCAGCACTAAATGGCCAACTCAACGTGCTTTGCTTGGTATGGGAGAGGAGGGTGCTGCTGTTATGAAGGTTGCAGAAGCCGAAAGAGTATGGCTTACCATGGCCGCCTGCAAGCCGAATTCTGTTGCCCGGCCCTGCGTGTGTGATCTCTAACACCAAAGCTGCCGGCACTCAATATAAGATGCAAAATGCGACCTTGTACCAAAATCACATGTGCTATGTAATGTGAATAGTGTTGTTCATTGTGAAAGAGTATAGTCATTGTTCTGTAAAATGTATCTTTTAAAATACTTCCCTCCCTTTTTTTCCTTCAGCAGCTGCAAATGTTTCAAGCCTCCCTCCTCCGTCCCAAAGGCTATCTCAGATAAGGCGGTGAAAAAACTGCACATGCGCTGAAATGATCTCTGAGCTCATGCAGTCGTACGGCACTGACGGAGCTCAGCAGAATGTGTGGAGGGACACAATAGCAGAGTACAGGACCGTGGCGATGAACGTGAGGAGAGGTGGTGGCAGGAAGATCAGAGGAGGCATGAGGCAAGGCTGCAGCTACTGCGGGATCAAACGGACACGCTCTGGCGTCTGGTGGAGGTTCAGAAACGGCAGCAGGATCACAGACTGCCACTGCATCCCCTGTTTAACCACCCTCCCTCCTCCCCAAGTTCCATAGCCTCCTCACCCAGACCCCCAAGAACGTGAGGGGGGGAGGAGGCTCCAGGCACCCAACCACTCCACCCCAGTGCACAGCCCAAGTAGCAGAAGGCTGGCATTCAACAAGTTCTGAAATGACCTTTTCGTTCCCTTCTCCCACACCCCATCCGGTCTACCTTGTGAGTTATCTTCCTATTTTTACAATCAATTAATAAAGAATACATAGTTTCAGAGTAACAGCCGTGTTAGTCTGTATTTGCAAAAAGAAAAGGAGGACTTGTGGCACCTTAGAGACTAACCAATTTATTTGAGCATAAGCTTTCGTGAGCTACAGCTCACTTCATCAGATGCATACTGTGGTGTAGCTCACGAAAGCTTATGCTCAAATAAATTGGTTAGTCTCTAAGGTGCCACAAGTACTCCTTTTCTTTTTAAAGAATACATGTTTTTTAAATGATACTGACTTTATTTCCTTTGCAAGCAAGCTGTGATTGAAGGGGGGAGGGTGGGTGGCTTACAGGGAATTTAGAGGCCACCAAGTGGGTGGGTTTTCATCAAGGAGAAACAAACAGAAGTGTCACACAGTACCCTGGCAAGTCGTGAAACTGGTTTTCAAAGCTTCTCTGATGTGCACTGCGCCCTCCTGTGCTCTTCTAACCCCCCTGGTGTCTGGCTGCGCGTATTCAGTGGCCAGACGATTTGCCTCAACCTCCCACCCCACTGTAAATGTCTCCCCCTTACTCTTACCGAGATTGTGGAGCACACAGCAAGCAGTGATAACAATGGGAATATTGGTTTCGCTGAGGTCTGAGCGAGTCAGTAAACCTAGCCAGTGTCCCTTTAAACGTCCAAATGCACTCTCTATCACCATTCTGCACTTGCTCAGCCTACAGTTGAACAGCTCCAGACTACTGTCCAGGATGCCTGTGTATAGCTTTGTGAGCCAGGGCACTAAGGGATAGGCTGGGTCCCCAAGGATAACTAGGCATTTCAACATCCCCAACAGTTATTTTCTGGTCTGGGAAGTAAATCCCTTCTTGCAGCCATTTAAACAGACCAGAGTTCCTGAAGACGTGAGCATCACGAACCTTTCCCGGCCATCCCACGTTGATCTTGGTGAAACGTCCCTTGTGATCCACCAGTGCTTGCAGCACCATGGGAAAGTACCCCTGGCGGTTTATGTACTGGCTGCCCTCGTGGTCCGGTCCCAAGATAGGGGTATGCGTCCCGTCGAGAGCCCCACCACTGTTAGGGAATCCCATTGCAGCAAAGCCATCCACAATGGTCTGCATATTTCCCAAAGTCACTACCTTTGATAGCAGCAGCTCAGTGATTGCGTGGGCTACTTGCATCACAGCAGCCCCCACGGTAGATTTGCCCACTCCAAACTGATTCCCGACTGACCGGTAGCTGTCTGGCGTTGCAAGCTTTCAGAGGGCTATTGCCACTCGCTTCTCAACTGTGAGGGCTGCTCTCGTGTTGGTCTTCTGGTGCTTCAGGTCAGGGGACAGCAAGTCACAAAGTTCCATGAAAGTGCCCTTACGCATGTGAAAGTTTTGGAGCCACTGGGAGTCATCCCAGACCCGCAACACTATGCGGTCCCACCAGTCTGTGCTTGTTTCCCAAGCCCAGAATCGGCGTGCCACGGCATGAGCCTGCCCCAGTAACACCACGATTTCCAAATTGCCGGGGGCCGCGGTTTTAGAGAAATCTGTGTTCATGTCCTCATCACCGCGCTGCCGTCGCCTCCTCTCCTGGTTTCTGCAAAAACGGCAGGATAACGCGCGAGGTGTTTACAATGGTCATAACTGCTGCGGTGAGCTGAACGGGCTCCATGCTTGCCGTGCTATGGTGTCTGCTCGGGCAATCCAGGGAGAAGGGCATGAAATGATTGTCTGCCGTTGCCTTCATGGAGGGAGGGAGGGTTGATTGAGGACATTTACCCATAACCACTCACGACAAATTTTTGACCCCATCGGGCATTGGGAGCTCATCCCAGAATTCTAATGGGCAGCGGGGACAGAGGGTTTGGGGGGCTCAGGAGGGGGGGGAGCAGGGCCCTTAGGTGAACTCTAGAGGGGGGGAGCAGGTCACTCAGGAGGGGGCTTCAGGAGCAGGGGGCTCAGGAGGAGGGCTGCACGGACGCTGAGGAGGGGGATTTAGAAGGGGTCTCAGGAGGGGGAGCAGGGGGCCAGGAGGGGGGAGCAGGAGCCTCAGGAGGAGACCTCGGGAGGGGGGTTCAGGGAGGCTGAGGAGGGGGGAGCAGGTGGTTTAGAAGGTGGCTCAGGAGCGGGCTGAGGAGGGGATGGGGTTTGGGGGAGCTCAGGGAGTGGAGGCTCAGGAGGGGGTCTTAGAAGGGGGGGGAAGGGGGCTCAGGAGGGGGGCTCAGCAGGAGGCCTCAGGAGGGGGAGGAGGTGGCTCAGGAAGGGGGCTGAGTAGGGTGGCAGGGGGCTCAGGAGGGGGCAGGGTGCTTATGGAGGCTCAGGAGTGGGCACCAGGGGATCGGGGAGTGGGGGGCTCAGAAGGGTGTCTAAGGATGGGGGGCTCAGGAGGGGGCAGGGGACTTTGGGGGCATCCGGAGGGTGGCTCAAGGCCTCAGGAGGGGGGCACAGGAGGGGGAAGCGGGGCTGTTCGGGGGAGGAGCATGGGGAATCAGGAGGGGGGCTCAGGATGGGGATCGGGGGGCTCAGAAGCGGGGCAGGGGGCAGGGGGCAGGAGGAGGGCTCAGGAAGGGGGAACGGGGCAGGAAGGGGGCTGGGGGGGGGGCGGGGGGGGGGTTGGGGGGAACCCCCCCCTAATTCTCTTCCCCCCCCCCCCCCCCCGGGGGGGGGCCCGCCGGGAGGTGCAACCTCGACCGGGCTGAATATGGAGATCGTACCTTGGGGTAGGTGCATCTTCAGACCCTTCGAACCCCTGGCTCGGTACCGAGTCCAAGTCTCATCAGTGGCTACTCAGACGGAGAGCCCGATGTCTACCGATGGCGAGAGACACCCAAGTCTGGGGTCCTCGCAGACTATTACTACCGCAGGTGAGGTGTATCCCATCTCGGGTCCCTCACAGAGAATCACCACCGCCGGTGCGATCAGTAGCGTTACTGTCGCACAGACCGAGGCCGAGGACATGCTCCCAGCCTTACCTCTCGAGTTCCTCAACTCGGTGTTCGGTGAGACTGTGAGGCCCGACACATCTCCCGGACCTTGCGTCCCAACAACTCCTACCAGTGAGAAGGAACGAGATGCGGAAGGCTCTGAATCACTGGTAGACGATAGAAACGATACCATCGGCGTTTCTCCCACGACATCCACTGTCGCGGTGACAGATGGAGAAAGCGAGACCAGGGTGCAGGGAAAGGTTCTGGTGAGGTTACCAAACGATAACCCAACATGTCCCTTCTGCGGGGATCATGTGGGGAAACCAACTGCTCTGCAAGTACATCTGAAACGTCACCACGGAGGGAAGGATGTGGAATTTCAATGTTCCTTGTGTGATAAAATCGATCCTAAAGCACACAGCATCCTCTGTCACATCCCTAAGTGCAAGGGATTGACGTCCCAAGAACCAGCCGGGGACTGGGAATGTGAAGTTTGTGCCAAACGATTTGGTACCAAATCAGGTCTCTCCCAACATAAGAGACGGGCCCACCCCGTGGTACGTAATGCAGAGAGAATCCAAGCCAGTCAACCTAAACCAAACTCGCAGCGTGGAAAACACAAAAGTTGTTGGTCGGCCGAGGAAGAGTTGCTCCTTATCGATTTTGACAAAATGTACTCGGGCGAAAAGTGCATTAACAAACTCATTGCTGAAGCCATGAAAACCAAGACGGCTAAGCAAATCAGTGACAAACGTCGACTGCTGAACCTAAGCAGTAAAACCAAATCGGAGTGTGCTGACCCAGGACCTGGAGCAAACACTCACTGCCTGGAAGTCCGATCTGATGAGCCGCCTACCATCACGGGGCTCGAGAGCATGTATATGCGTGAGGTTAAGAAACGCCTAAGGGACCAAAGCAAAGGACCACAACATCTGGGCCTTGCTCCGTTTGAATCTGAGATCCTCAGCGCATGGGTCAGGGGGGACCCCAATGTCAGATCGCTTGTTGAAACAACTTCCATCGATGTTCTCTCCTCCTTCCTAGCACCCGAGCATGAGACTGAAGGTAAAGGGAAGAAAACGGCCCAAAAGCCCAAAAGTGGAAAGAACAAATCTTGGATGAAAAAAAGAGCGGCTAAGAAAAGTACCTACCGGAGGTACCAGCACCTCTTTGCGAATGACAGGTGCAAACTCGCCTCTATCATCCTTGATGGCACTGAACGCCTACAGTGTCAAATTCCACTTGAAGAGGTCTTCCGCGCATACAAAGACAAATGGGAGACTCGAACCCCTTTCGAAGGGCTTGGACAATTCAAATCTCATGCTACAGCTGATAACTCAGCTTTCGATCTTTTCATAAGTGCTAAGGAAGTCTTGAAAAACATCAAGGAGATGAACATGAAAACGGCTCCGGGTCCTGATCAAGTCAGCTTGAGAGATCTGGTCCGCGTGGACCCTGAGGGCGATACACTGGCGGGGTTATTCAATGCATGGCTGGTTACAGGTGTCATACCTGACGGTATTAAGGAGTGCAGATCCTTACTGATCCCGAAAACGATGGACCCAGAGGCGCTGAAAGACCTAGGGAACTGGAGACCTCTTACCATTGGGTCCATCGTGCTGCGGCTATTTTCGAGAATACTGACAAACAGGCTGGCGAAAGCGTGCCCATTGAATGCGAGGCAAAGGGGGTTCATTGCGGCACCTGGCTGCTCCGAGAACTTAAAGGTTCTCCACCTAATCACTAAGCAGGCCAAAAAAGAGAAAAAGCCCCTGGGCGTCGTATTTATAGATATAGCCAAGGCTTTTGACTCGGTATCCCACGATCACATCATGTGGGTGCTGCGGGAAAGGGGCCTGGACCAGCACATGATCAACATCATCAGTGACTCCTATAGGAACGTCCATACCCGTATGGAAGTAGGGAAGGAGCTCACCCCGCCAATCGCCATTGACGTTGGGGTTAAACAAGGAGACCCAATGTCACCTCTGCTATTTAACCTAGCGCTTGATCCGCTGATTTCAACGCTAGAAAAGACTGGCAAGGGATTCCCAGTTGATGCGCAAAGAGTGACTGCACTCGCCTTTGCTGATGACTTGGTCATGCTCAGCGACTCGTGGGAAGGTATGAATGCAAACATCCAGAT